TGGGGTAGGGGGTGGGGGCTGGCTCCTTCAGGAAACTGTAGAGTTCGGTGGAGCTGGACCAAGAGGAGGCGGTCAGAGACATAGACTGAGGCTGAGACCCAAGTGCTGTGTAGGCTAAGGAACTTGGATTATTATTTTATTTTTTAGCTATTAAGCATGGAGATGGTAAGGCCAGGTTGGTTAGTAAATTCACTAAAATGAAGGTGGCAAATGAGGCATATTTCCCTAGTATTTACCCCCTTTAGGGGCCAGTGAGGCAATGTAGGCACAAATGGAATCGGGGGAGCTGTGTCCGGGGGGCTGGACCAGCTGAAACTGGAAAGACCTGTCTCTCAGTGACAAGGAAGCCCGATTAGATGCAAGGGCCTCAGGGAGAAAAATTACTTTCTCTGAGTGGCACCCATTGCATAATCTCTACTATGTTTCCAGGCATGGGTTTTTGGAAAGGGGCCCATATTTAGATGTTTTTATTCTTTTCCATTAAAACTAACCTGAATTGGGTTTTGGAAGCAGTACTTAGGTGGAGTATGGTGGTTTCAGAAAGATCCTAGCCCAGTGGGGGTAGAGAAATGGAAACTCGGCAAAAATAAATTTCATAAGTGCAAAGGGGATAGGGAGCAGGAGGGAGTAAGAATTAGACCAAAAAGACTTCCCAACTCAGAGAATCCAAAAGCTCAGATGTGGAAGGACAACAAGAGCTCATTCGGCTTCTGCCAGTCCCATGTCTGAATCTCCCACAGTCCTGCTGACAGGCAGTCTCCCAGGCTGGGGAGCACACCTTCTCAGCTGCCGGCTCCTCCACCCTTGCACAGCCTGCCCCTCAGCAGCTCACCCTCACTGGTGCTGGAACTGGATTCCTTGCCCCCACTGGTCCTAGTTCCCTGAGCTGGCTGGCACAGAGCACCACAGTCCCCCTCCATACGTGGCACACTGGACTCCCATCTCCACATTCTCTTTTCCATGGTTTCTTTTTTTCCAGGTAAAACATTTCCAAGTCCTTCAGCTGCTCCTCATGGGATGGGGTTTCAAAGCCCCTTATCAATCTGATCTTGAAACACACAGGTGTGTCTTTATGTCTCCCACAGTATGGGTCCAGACCTAAAACAATGTTCCAGAGAGAGTCATTTCTCCCAACAGCTCACTAGGGCCAGAGCTGGGATTCTTGAGGGTCTGCAGGACTTCAAGACCATACTCTTTCCACCCATTGCTGAGTTAACTGACATCAATAGTGATTTTAAACATCCTAGTTTTTTTTTTGTTGTTGTTAGTTTGTTTGTCTTACATACATTGTGGCAAAATATCATGTCCCCCTGCTCAAGAGCCTTCACTGGCCCCGCAGTACACCCTTAATTATACAAAGTGTCCCCCCAAAAATGTATACACACTTTAACAGTGAAGAGCTTGATTTTGAAAATAAAATGTATTTTAATAACTACTGCCTTTATCATCATTTGAAGTGTGTGTATACATTTTTGGAAACACCCTATACAGAGGGGTCAAAGTGCCAAGTGGAGGTCCTAAATGTAGGTCTGGGCCTCGAGTGCTCTGGGGCTGTACCTCAGAGCATGAAATTTCCTTTCTCTCTCGCATTTCCAGGAATCCCACCAGCACATGGGGTTCGGATGCAGTGGACTTCTGGGTCCTCCGTAAACCACTACACATGGCCTTTCCCACAGTTTTCTGGCCACTGGCCAGACCCTTACACACTGTAAAGGTTTTGACTAGCCCTTCTTCTATTGTCCCTCTGAAACTTCTCAACCACTTCCAAGTTGTATGGCCAAAAATCTCCCAGAACAAAGACACTGTCCTCTAAAATCTTTGGCTGGAGAACACCTGAAACCTCAAATCCCTTGTACGTGGTGGTTTGCACAATCCAACTCACTGCCACCCATGAAGCCAGACCTTCATCTAGATCGGCAGCCCCACCAGTCTGTCCCGTATGCTTCCTTCCCTCTGACCCACTGAGGCGTCCCAGCATGCAATCCCCAGTGAAGCCACATGGGTCATGACCCATATCCAGAAGAGGAGTCCCTTTCCTCAGGCTGCAGACATATGAGCACAGGTCACGGGAACCTGGCAGTAGAAAGGAGATGTACTTACACTTACAGGTTGACTTTTTGGCACATCATAAACACCTTCCTTCTTTTGGCTGGTGGGAACCTATGGAAAGATAAAAATTCAACACAGTCAAGATACTCTGGTGTTTCATTTTAAAAGAACAAAGCAACCAGAACTCAACTCTAAGGGGACCCCAGGGGATATGTGTGTGTGAGAGAATGGCTTTGGGGTCCCAGGGGACAGCTCCAAGGGGCTGTGATAGCAGCAGGCAGGAGGGCTGTGTGTGGGAATCATTTCACACATGTCTGCAGGCTGCCTCTGCCTTTGGACTCCTCACAGAATCACAGAACCACAGAACAGGAAGCTGCAGAGACCTCAGCAATCTTGTGGTGAAACATGTAATCCTCATTTCACCAAAGACAAAACTGAGGCCCAGGGATGTTCTTCGAGTTGCCCAAAGTGATTAAACACAGTTTGCAGCTGAGCTTATACTGTTCAACCCTAAGACTGAGATCCAGGCTATTTAAAATATAGCAAGTATTAAGGTCCTCATTCAAAGTTCCACTTCTGTTGGGATCACGCGTAAGCCACTGGGTAATTACCAAAGGCTTTGTTCAAGGAAAGGACCCAGAAGTTATATGAAAAGCATGAGACTAGAATCCAGAAAAAAATCTCAATTTTTAAAAACACATATCTGTGTCTTCTCTCTCTCTCTTCTCTTAGTCATCCATCCTGTCTAATTGGGCCACGTGGTGATGGTAACACCCTAAGCCGGTCACTTAGCTCCTCTGAGCTGCACGCTTACAAAATGGTGCTATCGGCTCTGCTTCTCACTCTGATTATTGTGGAGATCAAATGAGAAAATAGACACTCAATAATCAAAATCTACTAGGCACCATAATATGGAAAAATGTTAGAATGATAGCTTCTTTTATCGTGAGTGCATTATACACACACACACACACACACACACACACATTTTATAATACTTAACAACAGCGGGTACAGTGAATACTGCTCTCATTTGTCAATCAACGGCTTTGTACTGAAATGTCCCAAATTGAGAGTAATCATTGGTTGTCATTCCCCAGCACCTAGCAGAGCAGAGTTTAGCCCACTGATGGGATCAGCCAATAGAGGTTGTAGAATTGTCTGTGATAACATGTCTTTCCTCAGACTGGGGGCTCCCTACGAGCAGGCATATTGCCTAACACCCAGTAGGCCTTCAGTCATGTCTGCTGGGTAAATGTTCCATAGAGAAATGTGGGAAATGGTGAAGAAAAAATGTGTATTTTAGGTAAAATGTGTATTTGTCTAGGTAACCAAACCATCCTTCAAGAAGTAAGAATTTGAGCTTGCTCCTTGAGTTCCTTTGTTATTTTAACTCTCATTCAACTTAAAATCTTTACAATAACACTAAGAAATTGGTATTGTATCCTCCACTTGAAGTAATGGAAACTGAGACTCAGAGATGTTCAGGAACTTTGCTTAAAGCTCCATAGCCAGGAAGTGATCAGATTCCAAGTCAGCTCCTTCTGGCTACCAACAAGACATTTATTCCGAACAGTGTGAACTATTGTTGACTATGTGCCAGCGCTATTCTGAACATTTGTTTACCGGCATTCCAATATAATCCTCAGGACAAGTCAATCAGGGAGGGATGACAACCGGAAAGTGAGGCTCAGAGAGAGTCCTGCCAGAGGGTGGAGCCTCGGCAGATGGCCTTTTCACTACTATACTGTATAGACAGCTGTATCTGGCTCCTGGCCCCACCAGTCTTATAGCTGTTCCAGGGGCTTCTTTTTCTCTGCCATCACATTCTGCACTCCCAGAAGCTCCTGCACATTCTTGCAGACAGTGGGACTATGCGTGAGCATGGCTGTGCAAAAGAGGCACTTGAGAACCACTCTTACAAGCCTTCGTTTGCAGGTAGCCAACGAAGAATGCAATTTTCTTTGCTCCTGATAACTGGGCGCCATCGAAAATGAATCCTTGAAGAATGCCCACAGAGTCCTTGTCAACGAGGGCCAATAAATTCCGAGCCCGCACTTGATTTCCACGAGCTCACCCTTTCCTGAGCACAACAAACAGC